GGAATCAGCAAAACTGTCCCAAAGATGCTTTTCCAAAGGCATTTTGTTTTTCCTTGAAGATATTTTGCTTCTCATCCAAGAAGCTTTTTCAGTTTGTACCTGGACTTTGTTTTTTTCCCTGAAGACGTTTCGCTTCTCATCCAAGAAGCTTCTTCAGTTCTGACTTCAGAACTGAAGAAGCTTCTTCAATGAAAACGGAAATGTCTTCAAGAAAAAACAAAGTCCAGTTGCCTTTTCAAAAAGCATCTTTGGGACAACCATGACCTGGATGACTAAGTATCTCCATAGACAATCAGGAAAAATAAATCAAATTTTGCCCTGCATCCAATGACTTCAATATCTAACATCCCTCCTTTGGTTTCCACAGACAAGCAGTATCAACTGCTAACTGTGTGAATGTGGAGAAGAACAATTCATTTCACATGTTATGGTGCATACCATATCCTTCAACATGTACAGAGGAAGACCTCATACTGGTGAGAAAAATTTGCTGTTGATGTGATCCAATACTGGGAAAATGTCATTTAGCTTTAATCCTACTTATTTTACATACCCTTTATATGCTATATTTTTATGACCTATTTTATGTCTTTTTATTTACTCAGTGTTGAATGTTGTACGTCTATAACTTGAAGGTCCTTCTGACACGAATAAACAAAGATCAACTATCAAACATCCGCACATCATCAATAAACAGTAAACACTACAGGGATAAAGCAAATATACATAGACCTAGAGATCTCTGCATTTGCACTCTGAACCTCAGTAGTAAATGTACTGACCGGGCAGTATCATTTGGCCTTGGGCACAAAAAGTACAACTGATGTCACCGCTCCAGAATGGGGGAAAGGGTTAGAGAAAAGAACTGAATACAAGCCCAAACTTTGTGATTAGACTAAATATGAAACATCAAACCATCTACCAATAAAGCTGCAGTTTATCTGAAAATCCACTAGATCATTGGTGGCAAACCTTTTTCGGCTCCCATGCAAGGGTGGGATTCTACCGGTTCGCACCTATTCTCTAGAACCTGTTGTTAACATTCTAAGCAGTTTGGAGAACTGGTTGATAGAAGAAATTCCTGACCTAATCCTGTAAGGAAGGTAGGAAGGAAACATTCTGGTGTTGCTTACAGTAACTGCCTCTCCGTTAACCCTTATTACATTCTTGGCAGGACTAGACTTCCTGTCTCAGGAATGTCTCTGGAGTTATTTTTCCCTCCTTTGTTGGTACTTTGCTTGTGTGGAGTGACCATTCAAAGTTACAATGGCACTGAAAAAAGTGACTGATGACCATTTTTCACACTTACGACTGTTGCAGCATCCCCACAGTCATGACAGGCCAGGCGAGTAGATGGTGCCTCGATGTGAGTGATATTGAGTTAGCCTCACCCACCCAGTCACATGACCACCAAGCCATGCCCACCACCAAAGCCACACCCACAGAACCGGTTGTTTAAAAATTTGAATCCCACCCCTGCTCCTGTGCCAATAATTGCGTGCGCGCTCGTGTGCTCACGTTCGCGTGCCAGCACCTAGAAGGCAATGTGTGCTGGCCCTCCCACACCCCCTATGCATGTGCGTGCGATCCCCTTGTCAGGCACCATGCGTCTCTACGCCTGCACGCTTGATCACCCCCTCGTGCCGTGCATCTCTGCGCATGCATGCATGATCCCTCCGTGCACCACGCATTTATGCGTATGCACATGTCTCCCATGCACCCCCGCCCCTCCCACGCATGCATGCCAGATACCTGACAATCAGCTGTTGGGTGGCGGCGGTGCATGCGCAGTGGGGCTTTTCCGGGTGAGGTCTCGCATGCTGGGGGAAATGGCTCTGCGTGCCACTTCCGGCACATGTGGCATAGGTTCACCATCACGGCACTAGGTCATACAGATACTCATCCAATGAAACTATACAATGTCATTTGATCATCAGTTATTGTAGAGAATGGGAATTGGGACATTCTAGGAGCTCTGGAGACACATGGATAGGGGAAATACAACATAACATGGGAAGAAGCTGAAACACAACAATCTTTGCCTTAGTCACATTCAGCATATTTGTGCTGACCTGTGAAATACAGTGTCATATGTTCGTTGAGTTATAATTCCGTGTCAATCATACCACATGATACTTGGGGCTTCTGACATGGCTAAATATTGCATAGAATGTATTATGGAAGCATAAATGTTATCATTAGCACTCACAAACTCACAATCTTTCTGGGATTTGATGATTTGGGTGTTTATATAATCTAATTTCCTGGGCTCCAAGATCACTACAGATGGGGGCTACAGCCAATAAATTAAAAGATGCTTGCTCCTGGGGAGGAAAGCTATGGCAAATCTAGACAGCATACTAAAAAGCAGAGACATCACCCTGCCAACGAAAGTGCGTATAGTCAAGACTATGGTTTTCCTAGTTGCAATGTATGGCTGTGAAAGTTGGACCATAAGAAAGGCTGAGCGCCAAAGAATTGAGGCCTTTGAACTCTGGTGCCGGAGGAGGAGACTCCTGCGAGTCCCTTGGACTGCAAGGCCATCAAACTGCCCAGTCCTAGAGGAGATCAACCCTGACTGCTCTTTAGAAGGCCAGATCCTGAAGATGAAACTCAGATACTTAGGCCCCCTAATGAGAAGGAAGGACTCATGGAGAAGAGCCTAATGCTGGGGAAGATTGAGGGCAATAGAAGAAGGGGACGTCAGAGAATGAAGGGGGCTGGATGGAGTCACTGAAGCAGTCGGCGTGAGCTTAAATGGACTCCAGAGGATGGTAGAGGACAGGAAGGCCTGGAAGAACGTTGTCCATGGGTTGTGATGGGTTGGACACAACTTCGCAACTAACATCAACATAGTCTAATCCAGCAAGATGACTGGAGATTTCAGGAAACTTAAGTCCACTCATCTTGAAATAGCTAAGGTTGAGAAACACTTGTCTAAACCTAGAGGAATGGCCTATTGTTTGCCTAATGGCAAACATCCTTGCATTTACATGAGGAAAAGGTGGAGGAACTTGAATAGCAATCCTTTGGTTTCTCACCTCAGCTTGCATATCTGCCACATCCACTACATCTATTCTTGCAATGCCTTGGATTATAGTTAAATCACATTCTTCTACATGTGTTTTCTTCATTTGACAAATAGGCAACCTTGAATGATCTTTCTCCTAATGTCCTGCTCTGTGTTAGCAAACTTACACAAGGACACCAATTGGTATCTGGCCACCAAAAATAAAATGAATCAGAATCAGAACAGAGCTGGAAGGGACCTTGGAGGTCTTCTAGTCCAACCCCTGCTCAAGCAGGAGATCCTATGCCATTCATGTTCTCTTGGCTCTTTTGTGTTGCTCGAACTCCATGTCCTGAAACCCCCAGTAATAATGGTCAGAGGTAGTGTTGTTTGGTTGTCATCTAGGTTGTGCTCTGGGTTGGGCAAAGTTGATGCATATAAAGCGCCTTTTCTTTTGCAAAATGACAACTTAGGATCTGTTTCTTTGAAGGCTTCTCTTCTCCCTTCACTCTATTTTCCAACTTTCCATCTATCATTCCCCATGATGCTTCTGGCAGCAGAAACCAAGTTTTGAATAGGAAATTCAGGAAAAAAAAAAGAAATTTGGTACATAATACCTGTATACTGCAGTCAAGCTAAGGTGTGCTGCAGAGATGCTTCTCCTCGGGGTCCATATAGACAGACACATTCAAATGCAATTTAGCCCCTGCAGAAAACTCAGTTCATCCTTTCCCCTAACTCTCCAATGCGCCTTGAAAGCCTTAAATATGCCTGCACAAAATCCAGTTCTTGTTTACCAAGAGATTGGCTGTCAAGGGAAGAGAGCTGTTGCCAATGTTATTTTGAGTCCAAGAACATTTGGAGGATTAATTATTGAATGAATTAAACAAAATAATGTTTACTAAACCAGAGAATTCAGCCTGCAGGTAAGTAAGATGCACCCATGACATGTTTGCTCAATACTTCAGCTCCTTCCTAACCCACCCTGCCTCCTCCTTTCAATTTGGAATCCAAAGAAAATTGCCTTGAATTTAGAAACAGCAAGGTATGAACTAAACCCTGGCCTGGATCCTAGTGACCAATAGCTGTCGTTAAAGTCCAGAAAATGAGAATCAGAATAGAGCTGGAAGAGACCTTGGAGGTCTTCTAGTCCAGCCCACTACTCAAGCAGGAGATCCTATATCATTGCAGACGAGCGATTCTCCAAGTCTCTTCTTAAATCCCTTTATCCAGGGATAAAGCACCCACAACTTCTGCAGGCAAGCTGTTCCACTGGTTAATTATCTTCACCTTGGGAAGTTTCTCCTCAATTCCAGGTTGCTTCCCTCCAGTGCATGAACAACTATCATTTTTAACATTTCAGACGGATGGGGCCAGAGAGAAATTAAACTAAATTTTCTACTCCTTATACAAAAATGCAGTTTTTTGTCTGCAAACTCTGGAAATTCCATTTACTAAAAAAGACAAAAAGAAGCTTCCAAAAATGCATTTATTCAAGTGTGCTTAGAAAACTAGAGCCATCTTTCACCTTTTGGTGCCAGCTCTCTTCTCTTAACAGCCAGTCTCTTGGCAAACCAGAACTGGATTTGGTGCAAGGCATATTTAAGGCTTTCAAGGCGCATTGGAGAGTTAAGGGGAAAGGAGCAGTGGTCACCCCAGAAACCTCCTGTGAGAATGACAATGAACAGAGATACAAGTTCTTTTTCAACCCCCTTGCAAATCTCCAACCTGTTGTTTGTCTATAATCAATTGCAATTGTTTGTCCGCAATCAGTTGGCTGTAATCACAGCTGCATTTTGCCCTCTCAGATAAGCAGAAATGCAATCGGGCGACTGGCCACTCCCAAACCTTCCCAGAAAACGGGAGGATTTCAAACAGTTAGGAAAGGCGCACAAGACCCACGAAGAGCAGCCGAAGAGGAAAAACAGGTTGCCCCGAGCAGGAAAGGGGCGGGGCGGAGAGAGTTTTTTTTAAGGCCCGCCAAGCTCCTCTTGGCGTCCAAGATTTGGGGAGCTCTTTCGCCATGGCTGCTTGGCTTCTCCTCCTCCTCATCGCGGGCAACCTCTGGGCGAGCGGCTGCGGGGAAAGGAACAGGCCGACGTGCGGTTATCCGCCGGCGCTTTGGTGCACTTCCGAAGAGATCGCCCAAGCCTGCCAGGTAAGCCAGAGGGTGCACGCCGGCGATTACCCGTTTGCGTGAGGCACGGGGCGGCTTCGAACTGTGGGTGCTTTTGCAACTTCCGGCTTGCAAGAAGGCTGCTTGTTTTTGGTTTTGGTTTTTTTTTTTTACCTCTGTTAGGGGGTGACTTTGATTTTTCAGCAGGCTTGACTCTGATTTGAGGGATGAGAGAAAGCGCACGATCCAGGGTCGTCCAGTTCAGGGGTCTCCAACCTTGGTCCCTTTAAGCCTGGTGGACTTCAATTCTGGGAGTTGAAGTCCGCCAGGCTTAAAGGGGCCAAGGTTGGAGACCCCTGGTCTAGTTGGCTTTTGGGTGCCCGTGAGAGGCTAGGAACCCAGATCTCTCCGTCCTGAGTCAGAACCTTTCCTCGTTTCACTGGTGCTGCCTCTCTCCGCTTTGCCAAAAAGAACAAGCCCATTCTAAAAAACCCCGTTCAAAGAAAGGAAAAAAGGCAAGCAGCTCAAACGGTCAACATCAGGGGATCCCCCAAACTTCGACAAATTGAAGACTTGTAGACTTCCAACTCCCAGAATTCTCCAGCCAAAAAATTCTGGGCGTTGAAGTCCACAAGTCTTAAAGTTTTGCCAAGTTTGGAGACCTCTCTGGTCAAGATGGTAGAAAAGGATCCACACGGAAAAGATGGGAGGACGTTTTATTCTGGGGAGGGGTGTGTGTGTCCTTGGTGCTCCCTGAGCGTTGTGGTTTTCTTGTAGACTTTTCATTGCCCAAACTAGGTAACGTCATCAGTGCACCCCTCATTTCATCCCCGAGCTACAAATATTCTCCTTTATTAAAGTAGGTAACCTTATTTCAATTATTTTACCCCTCATTTCAATTCTGGGCTACAGATATTCTCCTTTATTAATATGGTTTATTCTCCAGCAGAAAAGCAATAGGGAGACCTATGTGTGGTAAAGGTTGGTTTGCGGTACAGTATTGATCTTATTATCTTATGAATGCCAGAAAAAAGAGGGGAAGGAAGGAAGGAAGGAAGGAAGGCTGGCTGGCTGTGAAACCAAGCAGAGGACTTTTGAGTCAGGGCTTCCAAAGAACTCATGCTGTGAATGAAGAATCACCAGGTGGTTACTGTGTTTTTCCTTCACATTCCTGAGTTTCTTTCAGAAGACAACAACCACATGGAAGAAATTCATAACAGAAAGTCTGAAGTCCAAACCCATGACATTCCCTGAAAAAGGGAAGTTTGTCATAACTCTCTTACCTCAATCATAGGAGTTGGCCAGACATTTCTTTTAAAATGCTTCCTGACAAGGTCAAATCTTTGACTACGTTTCTTAAGCCCGTACTGGTGTTAAATAAAACTCATTATCCAAGGGAAGCCATAGCTCACTAATAAGTTGCAAATCGTTGTTGTTTATTCCCTTGCTGCTCCTCCTTTAATGCCAGAGAACTTGGGTTTTTAATTTCTCCCAGCTAAGCAACGGAGAGGGCAGGGAGTAGGCAGAAATTCCCGGAACCTTTGCAAAAGGAATAGGGGTGTGTGGAAACAGCAGGCTTGATCAGGAAATAAAAGGCAGTATATAGTATTTATTTAAAATGGTCTTGCAGAACTCAGCCTAAATTGTGTAGAAACCAGCATCTCTCCAAGTTTTAAAACAAGGGCGACCCAGCCTTGGCAACTTTTAAAACTTGTGGACTTTAACTCCCAGAATTCCCCAGCCACTCCTGTTTCAAAACATCCCCTTTTGCTTCCTTTACTCTCTAGACGTGTGGGCCCCATTGACTGGCTGTGATGAAAATTATATTGTAACGCATCTGAATTATATTCTAGTGCAAAGTGCAGAACACGGGTGAGCAATAGTCAAATACATTTTTAAAAGAAGCAAACAAAATACTGCAAAATCATACCAATTATGTCTAGTCTAGTGAAGAGAAGGACCAGGGGAGACATGATAGCAGTGTTCCAATATTTGAGGGACTGTTACAGAGAGGAAGGGGTCCAGCTATTTTCCAAAGCACCCAAAGGCCAGACAAGGAATAATGGATGGAAACTGATCAAGGACAGATTTAACCTAGAAATAAGAAGAAATTTTCTGACAGTGAGAACAGTCAACCAATGGAACAGCGTGCCTTCAGAAGTTATGAGAGCTTCATCACTGGAGGCTTTCAAGAAGAGAATGGACTGCCATTTGTCAGAAATGGTGTAGGGTCTCTGGCTTGGGTGGGGGATGGACTAGATGACCTACAAAGTCCCTTCCAACTTTAATTATCTGTTAAATCTGTTACTGTTCCACCTTTATAAATTATCCTCCCTTTCACCATGGTCATACACTAATACACATTTATCTATCATCTCCCTACTTATCTCCCTCTCTTATAATTTACTTAAATCATAAACTGCTGTTTAGTAGCTAACGTCCGGCTGCAAATCTGCCATGAAGAATGTTTGTGTGTGTGTGTGCATGCCATTTGAGTCAACATTGACTCCTGGCAACTGCCTGGACTAATCCATGTATTTTTCTTGGCAAAAGTTCAGGAGTGGTTTAATTCAAGCCTATTCACATTTTGGTACCCTTTCTCTAAATCTACAACCATATACTAAGTTTTCTGTCAGCTGGCATACAATTGTGCTACCTTTCTGTTTGAATAGGGGACAGTAATGGCATTCTACTAATTTCCAGGCATAGGTGAATTCCTAATGCCAATTAAAATAAGTTCTGCAGCCATTCCATAAGCAAATCACATCCGTATTTTAATATTCTCCAGGCATCCGGTCTGTTCCTGCAGTGTTTTTTAATGACCACCTCATGCTCAAAAGTGGTCCCTCAATGTACTTTTTTTTAAAAAAAAGCAAATACAGGGTAAATAATGGCTTCTGTCATGCCCCTGTTGTACTCTGAATCTGAGGAGGAAGCTGAACAGCTGACAAGGAGTTGGCTGTGGAGGAAACTGGGGAAGGGCAAAATTCGGCTGGGCAGAGCAGGAGAGAGGTAGAACAAGGGAGAGGGGGTTCAGAGGAAGACCCAGGCCCACCCCCTCTTCATCCTAGGGGCACACAGGGAAGAATGGAGAAGAGAGCAACGTGGGTTGCGTGGCTTATGGAGGAGGAAAGGGCCCTGATTCCCTTCATTAGGCACACCTGGGAAGAGAGTTTAAGAGATGCAAGATGAGAGTGGTGTTTTGGGAGAACAAACATGAGTTTATCTTGTGTTGACTGTGGTTATCTGCATTCCTGGCATCCTCCCAACTGGGTTGATTTACTGCCGTTCCTTCACTTCTGGAATTCCTTATATGTGCCCTGCCGGATTAATTACCTCATCTTGCCTTGATTGGACTTATAGTTACAGTTTTTGTTGATAACGTTTTGGACTTGAATCTCTGCAGCCAAAGGCTGTTTCTGGAAGAGTTTTTCTCCAGACCAGAAAGTAACCAGGACACTGGGGTCAAAGTTAGAGCTAATAAAGGGACTCCTACTGATTATCTGACTGTGTTGCCTTTGTGCCACGCCCTGAGTCATCACAGCTTCTTAAGTTACGCAAATACTTCCATTTGGTTTGTAAATCATGATTGAAGTTTTATGTGTATCGGGCATACTCAGCTAATGGCTAAACAGACAATGGCTAAGCACAATTTAGATAACCCACACAAGGATCACACAAGGATCTCTCCATTCCTCCAACTTTATTTTTGAATTAGAACTAATGGCACTTTTGTAATGGAACAGCCTTTCAAATAAACATTGAAAGGAATTTTATTTCAGAACTGAGCTAGGGTTCTTACCAATTCTGGACCTAAGGAAGTTAGCAGGGGTGGTTCTTGACTTAAGATCATTTGTTTAACAACATGCAAAATTATAGGATTGCCATTCAAAAAACTGATTCATTGATTACATCTCGGAGCCACCCACCTCCTTCAAAGAGGGATTCTGGGCATCAAAATATGAACCAGTGTATAAAAATTAAATTGTTCGACTGTTAGAATTAAAATGTCTAAAATTGTTTTTAAAAATTTAAGGAGGGAAGCATGGTAAATGTCCAAGGAGGCACTTTTAATCCCACTGAAATTAGTTGACAAAGGAAGGCGACTGACCAGTCGATGTAACCTGTATTCAGGGGTGGGCTTCAAATTTTTTAGCAAGGAGTTCTCTGCCCAGTTGCTGGGTGTGCATGGCCATGGTGGGCGTGACCTAGTCAGCCTCCTCCACATTTTTACCCATCCCCAGACTCAGGAGGCTTTCCTTAAGCCTCTGGGAGGGTGAAAATGGCCTCCCAGGCCCTGGAGGCTCTCTGGAAGCTGGAAATGGGCCAATTTCTGGCCTTCCTGAACTTCTAGGCCTGCTTTTCACCCTCCCCGAGCTTCCGCCTGCACTTACCTGCATTCAAAACAGGCCACGTGGGGACTCCTGGGAGGGGCGGGCTGGGCAGGGCCAGCCCGGAGTGGGATTTGGAGGTTCTCCGAACTGCGCAGAATCTTAGCTGGGGTTCTCCTGAACCCCTGTGAACCCCCAGCAGCCCCGGCCCTGCATGTATTTATGAGAGTTGCTTTGTCCTGTGGGGGGGTTTCATGGTCACCATCTGCAGCCTTCCCGGGGGGGTCTTCCAGCAAGCAAAGTCAGTGGGGGGAATTGGATTTGCTTGAGAACTGATTCGTGATTCACTCAATGTCTGCAGTGATTTTGCATAACAACTGCAACAAAAAAAGTTTGTTTAAATCGGGCGTGATTCACTTCATGACCACGTTGCTTAGTGAGGAAAGTTCTGACCCCAATTGGGGGTCGTAAGTTTTTTTGCCAGGTTAACATTTTACTGAGTTATAAAACACTGTAAAATACAAAAGTAAATAGAACAGCCGTGGGGAGGAAATGGGGGAAGAGAAGGGAGGAAGGATAAGAAGAAGAAGAAAAGTGAAGCATCATCACTGACTTCTGACTCTCTCTGTTTGCAGTAAAATAAGGCTGGATTGCAATAAAAGAGACTTTTTTTTGTAGCCTCCCTTGGCTCAGAACATCTTATTAGGGAAAATTCCAGACAGAAAACCCCACCATTGGGTAAAATGAATCAGCTCCCGTTTTGGCAAAGCCCCACACTTTCACTTCTTCTTACTAGGAAAGGAGGTGGCTGAATTCTTGGGAGGAGAGGGGTGAATCAAAGCACTTGAGCTTTATTTTCTGTTTTTGTTGTCACCTTCCTTGGCACAACCTTTCGCAATTAGTTCTGTGTATTGTATAACAATTAGGCCTGTGATGGTGAACCTATGGCAGGCGTGCCGCAGATGGCATGCGGAGCCATTTGTTCAGGCACGCGAGCCCCAGGCAAATTTACCTCACTGCGCATGCGTGCGCCTCCCAGCTGATTTGGGGGGCTTTTTCCGCCTCCCAGAAGCTCGAGGGAAGCCTCAGCAGCCTTTGGAGGCCAAAAAACAGGCCCGTTTCATCATTTCCAGAAATATCAGAAGTGATGAAATGGACCCATTTTTCGGACCCCAAAGGCTGCAGAGGTTTCCTTTGAGCCTCTGGGAGGTTGAAAAAGGCCTGAAAATCAGCTGGGAGGCATGTGCAGTGCAGGTAACGGGGTGACGGGATCACATTCGCATGCACAGGGGGCATGGGGGGCCTGCGCACATTGCCTTCTGGGTGCTGGCACGCGAGCGAGTGCGAGCGTGCGTGCAATTTTCAGCACAGGAGCCCAAAAAGGTTAGTCACCACTGAATTAGGCTGTGTTTGTAACAGTTCATATTGGCTATGGAACGAACACACTGGACCTCACTCCATTCCTAAGAGGTCTGTAAGGGGGCATGCATAAGTGCACTAGCGTGCCTATCACCCCTGTCCTACCGTTCCCATTATCCATGTATTCGTACTCATTTATTATGTATATACTTATATCTGTTTATACTTAGATGTTTATATGTTATGTTCATACTTATACTTGTTTTCTCATACATGCTTGACAAACAAATAAATAAAATAAATAAACTTGGATGGTTTGCAATGAATGTTGTAGATTGTATGAGCTTCACAACATTCAACAGGAACTGAAAATTAAGGATCTGAAAATTAAAGTAACAATAAACCAGATAGTTATGTTTGACAGAGAAGAAAATAGCTTGATTAGAGAAAGCAAATGCATTTGCCGGTCATGGTAAAATGTTTAATAAAGGTGACAAAATAGATGGAGAAATTTTAAGATATTGAATGCTGATAGAAAGTTATTGGGCAGCAAGGGGTTTGTAGCAATGAATGAAAGATTGTTTTTTTAAATACCCAAAATGGCTTGAAAAAGTGTATATACTTTTGCTTATGTTGTTATATAAGACTTGAGTATGTCAGGACTCAGGGGAAACAGATCATAAATTGGAATGGAAGTGGAAATAGTATAGAAAGGATTAGCGTTGAATGCTAAATAAAACCATTATAACCATAAAAAGAAAAGAACATGCACACCCCTTCCCTCTTGTTTGTTAATTTCACATGGTTCCACACTTGAGGGCTGGCCCCAAAGGTGTGTGAAAAGAGGAACAGTGACACCAGTGACACAAGGAAATATTTGTAACTCATGGATGAATTTTGGAATCCTTGGTGCTTTCTGAGAGCTTGGTGATTTTCTTGCAGACATTTCATTGCCCAATTAGGTAACGTTACTCTTCTAGCACTGAAGATCTTACCTAGTTGGATAATGAAACACCTGCAAGGGAAACAACCAGCTCAGAGAGCAACAAAAACTCCACAAGACAGGCAACCTGTCCTGAAGCCAGACCTTCCCAATCGGAGCTGCAGAGGTCTTACTGATGGATGAGGTCCATGCTAACTGGGGACAGGCTGAAAGGGAAGAACAACAAAAGACAAGAGGAGAAGTCCAATCTCCTGAAACAATTGGCCAACTCTATTACACAGACAGCACCCCCCCCCCCAAAATCCCAACTTTAAAACCTTTGCAGGTGTTGACTTTCAAGGGGATGATATTTTATAGGTGGAACATCTTCATGAAGACAAGATCTATAGCCAGCTTGCAACTCTCTGTGAAATGCTTGCCTATTCTTCTAGCAAAGTGATTACTCACAAGTACTTGGATTTCCATCTCTCTTACAAACCTCTTTGTATTTTCAAAGTTATCATAGGTCATGTAGTGGATTCCCATGGTTACAGAGGATAAGTAGATGGCAGCACCTAAGAAACAGTGGTGGTATTTCACCGGTTCGGTCTGGTTTGGCTGAACCGGTAGCACCTGCCCCGTCTCTATTCTTACCTTTATTTCCTGCTTTTCAACCTCAGCTGCTTTGTGTGGCATAGCCGATTTGCCGCACGTCAGCTGTTTTACACACAGGGCTTGCAGCAGAAGGTGAGTTGCAAATGCTGCATGCAAAGTGCACACTTGGAGAGCGTGCACTCACACCAAACTGGTAGGAAAAATGTTTGAAACCCACCACTGCTGAAGAACCATCCATTTCACTCTCTGGTAACACTATATTGATGGATGCCGTAGCGGGGCGTTTTTCTCCAGCATGACAGACTTGCCAATACCTACAGCCTGGGTGTAGGATGAGGGTGGAGGTTCATCCTCCAAGCTTGTGGATTGTTTTCCAAACATTTCATTACCAGCCTCGGTAACTTCAGCAGAATTTAGGGGGATGTCACTGTCAGTATGTGGTCACTAGGTTTTGTGATGGGGAGGTCAAATCTGGTGAGGGTCACATCAGGTGAAGGGCTTGTGATGGGCCAGGTGTCAATGGGGGAAGTTGGATTTGCTTAACCATGGCAAAAAAAGTCATGCAAGCAGGCAAAACTTTATTAACAACCCTCTTACTTAGCAAGGGAAATTCTCGTCCTGGTTGATTTCATAAATTGAGGAATATCTGCATATTTTTTCCAGTTGCAGTTTCCACAGGGGACAAATATAAGATTAACAGAGTTGGAAGGGATCTTGTAGGTAATGGTGGGATGGCTTGGTGGGCGTGGCAGGGGAAGGTTACTGCAAAATCCCCATTCCCTCCCCACCCCACTAACCTCCTTTCCAGCTCCGTTCTCCTGTGCAGGGCAACAAAAGAAGACCCAGCCAATCAGCTGGGACCCGGGAGGCAGAGAATAGATGGGGGCGGGGCCAGTCAGAGGTGGCATTTGCCAGTTCTCCAAACTACTCAAAATTTCCGCTACTGGTTCTCCAGAACTGGTCAGAACCTGCTGAATACCACTTCTGAAACCAACCCACAAGCTTGGAGAAGGAACTGCCTTCTCATGACAGACTTGTCCAGATGCCAATTTTCTTTTTCACCAACCATTTAAAGGTTTTTTGAATGAGCCGGCAGAAGTATTTTCTTCATCCCTGTCCAAGGAAGACAACTGTTTTCTTAGTTTGGTGGCATAGCCGGCAGTCAAACCACAAACACCCTGTCTTGATGCAGACTTTGCTTTCTTACAGGTGGAGAAGCATTGCACCGGGTTGATCTCCAACTCTCTGAAAGCTGACCCTGTCTCTGTCAGCCTCTACTATGAATCCCTCTGTGCTGGTTGCCGCCAATTTCTTGTGCTGATGCTCTTTCCCACTTGGGTGATGCTAAACAATATCATGAACGTCACTTTAGTCCCCTACGGGAATGCAGAGGTAGGAGAATATCCCTGGGTTGCAGCAGAATGACTGAAGATGTTATGAGGATGATTCCTTGTCCAGATTTCTCATCCACTCCATTTATCGTCTTACAGGAGAGGAAAGAGGCCACAAAATGGCACTTTGAATGCCAGCATGGCGAAGAGGAATGCTTGGGGAACATGATAGAGGTTTGTGCTTGTAGAATCAAAGTGAGACTAGTTGGGAGTGGGATGGGATGTGGGAATGACCTCTTGGAGCAGATCCACCTTGCCCATGTTGCAACTTGGAAATGCCTTCCTGTATCTACACAGCAGCATGCGCTAGAGGCAAGGGTCTCCAACTCCCAGAGTTCCTCAGCCAGCTTTGCAGACACCAGTTTTGGCGTCCGTGTCCAGTTTTCAGCCTCCGCACGCCCCGTTTTTTTGCCTCTGCATGCCTCATTTTTGACCCGTTCCAGGAGGCGGGGATCAGAACAGGCAGAAAATGAAGGCTGAAAATGGGGCATGTGGAGGCCAAAATTGAGATACGGAGGCAGCAATAGGCAATGGTAATCCCTGCAGCCTGAAACAGCTGATCATTGGGAAGCCAATCCAACCAACAATCAGCTTCTTGTGCCAATCAGGCTGTGTTAAAATTGAAACAGGTTGTTTGCTGTTTGCTACAAGGAGGCAAATTGCTGGGAGGCAGAGGCCAAAGGGTGGGGGCCAGTGGGTGGGCAGGGCTTTGGCAACATTCGGTGTATAAAATGCACAGACATTTCCACCCACTTTTGGGAGGTGGAAAAAGTGTGTCTTATACTCCCAAAAATACGGTAGCTTGTTTTTAGATATTGGTTCTATGTCTTAACTTTAATTAATCAGGGGTTTTCAATTCAGTGTACAGAATGTGAAGGATGTGTGTTTGTATTTATTTTCATAGTCATAATGTACACTGAAGATGGCATTTAATTTCGTTGTATGATGTGCAATGACAATAAAGTAAACTAAAATTAAAGTTTTGACAATAGGATTTAAGAGTGCCTAAATCCATGGCACAGGCATTCTCCTCTGGATGGTTTCTCACTGTTCTGCACCCTCCGCCCCATCTCTTCTTGTGCCCCCACTGCAGGGGTGTTTGAAGGTGTGGTCAAAAAAGTCAAGATGGCAACCATAGTGGTGCAGTGGAAGCTCTACCCCTTTTTTATGCCCATTGCACAGACTACCTTGGCGTAGATGTGTGTTGTAGTTATACACTTGATGTTCTGACTGTACTGTGTGGAAAGCCCTCCGTAACCCTTGTGCTTTGCGTTCACCAGGCTTGTATCAACTACATGTATCCGGTATACGCTTTTCCGCTCATCTTCTGCATGGAATCAAGTTCAGATGTCATCGCCAGCTTGCCACTGGTATGCAACGGGCCTTCCTGCAATTCTGATCTGATGGGGGAATCACAAGGAGACATCGGAGGGAGGGATGGTAGAACTAAGGCTGAACACACAGTTTGAATGTGGCTGAGGGATTGTGCCGTGCCAAGGCATTTATTTTACCCATAACAAAGATGGCCACTGCCTGTTTGTTTAGAAACACCGAAGCCAGGAATGCTGGATTCTGTAAAGAGAATAAATAAAGAATGAAATTAAATAGAATAAGCAAAAGCTGAATATGACTGAGAAAACTGGAAAAAAAAAAATCTTAGCAAGCAGGGTGTCCACCGTGTATGTGTGAATTCCACTAGGTAGACCAGTCTAAAAAACCAGTTCTGCTGGAAGACCAATGCTAGTTTTATGGAGCTTGTCTTTATCATAATACCATCTTGCAAACCTTCCGCCTCCCCCTTCTTACACTTGGGCGAATCCGGGAAATTGTCAACATTCCAAGTAATTTACACATTCAGAACAGAACTCCGAGGTAGGTAGATTCCTCAAAGAACAATGTATTGGCTGCATCATCTTGGCACAACCGGTGAAAACCGACTCTGAAAGTTCCCACGGTTTTCACCTAATTGAAAAGTGAAAGTTTTCCCCTCCCCCCCCATGTCATCGGTGACATTGTCCAACAGAGGTCCTGGCCGCTTGCTTGGTTACTCCACTCCTCCTCTCCCAGCCACCTGTTGGAATGACTAGGAAACCTTTTTGTTTTGAGGGCATAACCCCAGCAAATTATTCCCCACTCCTCATCCCCTCTTCTGCCTTGTGGCAACCCTGAAGCTACAAAGATGGCCTTGGCCAGGTCTGCTTCAGGGTTGACAGTGGTAACTGCCTGAGCCTCTTCCAAACAGCGTCTCATTGCTCAGGACTTTTAAATGCTTCATGTCCTTTAGCTCAGGAAATACACAAATTGTCTTGCATACAGTATGGTCAGAAAAGTTTTGATGGTAGTGCCTGATAGTAAAATTGAAGCTCCCAGGTTACAAAATTAACTTCTTTGAGAGTTATATGTGGTCCCATTTCCACTGTCAAGGAAGTTTCTTCTCTTCTGTCCCACTGGTTGAATTCTGCTAATAATCATTTCAATTTCAATTTAATTTGCTTAATGATGGTAATTGGGAATGGAATTTCTGTTACTAAGGGATGCAGTCATAAAGCGTGATGTCGTGTGACCATGCATTTAGCCATGGCAGTCCCAACAGACCCTGGTTGCAGTGGGGTGTTAAGCGATCCCCCTCCCTGATTCTGACTTCTGATTTCCTGCCGGCTTCCCCGTTGATTTTGCTTGGGGGAAGCCATCAAGAAAGGTTGCAGATTGCAATCCCACGGCCATGGGATGTTGCAATCAGTGGAACTTTGAGGACCGGTTGTAAGTATCCCTCCCTCGGCACCTTTATAAATTCTAATGGTTGCTGAAGAAGTGATCAGTAACCAAGAACTACCTGATATATGTTAGATGCCATAAGTCAGCCATCCTCAATCTTTCTGGCTCCGTGGATTGGCAGCAGTGGAGGGAGGGAGGGAATGGTTTTGCGTCAGACGTGGTATTCAGCAGGTTCTGACCAGTTCTGGAGCACCGGTAGCGGAAATTTTGAGTAGTTCAAAGAACCGGCAAATGCCACACCTCTGACTGGAGATTTTGCAGTATCCTTCCCCTGCCACGCCCACCAAGACACGCCCACAGAACCGGTAGTAAAAAAATTTGAATCCCACCACTGTTTCGTGTGTGCCACCTAATTCCATGCATGCGCAAATGGAGCTTTGCGTGCTCGCCTGCCAGTTCCCAATAGGCCGTGGACTGTAGCGGACTGTGAACTAGGGGTTCGGGATCCCTTCCATAAGTGCCCAGTGGATTGAAAGCAAACTGTACATTGCACAAATGTAGTAATAATAATTTATTGTTAAATTATTATCCTACCTTTTCCCCCAGGAACTCATGTAGCGTTTGTGTTCCATTTCTTTGCTCATTTCTATAAGCTGGATGGGTCTAAGAGAGAGCCCCAATAATACCTTAGCTTCTACAGCAGCAGGATTTACAAAGGCAGTCAAATCCACCTTCATCTTTTAGTGGTTGTGATTAGAGGTTCCAGGGATCAATGAAATGGGTTTAATAAAATTGCTTGTTCTTGTTTCAAAGCAATAAGGATTGTCCGTTCTGTTTCTGCAGTGCCTGAAGTTGTATGCTCCTAACGCCTCCTTAGCAGATATCAAGGCATGTGTGACTGGAGACCTAGGTAACAAGCTTATGCATAGGAATGCTGAACTCACCAGGGCTCTGAAACCACAACATGAGTATGTGCCATGGATTCTCATCAATGGGGTAAGTGTTTATGGAAGCGGGAGATAATGTTCCCTCCTTGTCTCTTCTTGTGTTAATCTTAGAATTGTAGTCCAGGATTGACCTCTGGGGTTCTGGGTGCTCTCTGAGCTTGGTACTGCAATGGGGATGTTACCTAGCTTGGTAATGAAACGTCTGCCAGGAAGCTCGGAGAGCAATAAGGACACCACATGCTAATCTTCTAGAAACCACAGATATAGCAAGCTTTGCAAAGAAGTTGTTGCTAAACCGCAATGTAAAGTAGGGGTGTCAAACTCAATTTCATTGAGGGCCACATCAGGGCTGTGATTGACCTGGGGGGCACCGGGGTGGGGTGGGGGCTGACTGACTCAGCAGGCGTGGCCAGTTTGACGCCACTCCCCAAACTGCTGGCATGTGGTACACTGGGCTGAAGCCACGCTGTCCCGATCTTTCCTCCTCACAGTGGGTAGACTAGAATGTGCTATGAAGTATGACTGTCTTGAGCATTTGAGCTCAATCCTTAAATATTTTGCACAGTGTTGTAAGTCCTGGACTTACAACAGTTCATTTAGTGACCAGTCAAAGTTACAGTGGCAATGAAAAAAAGTGATGAAGGTTTTTCACCCTTGGAACCACTGCTGCATCTCTATGGCCCTGTGGTCAAAATTTGGACACTTGGCAACTGGTTCATATTTATGATGCTTGCAGTGTCCTGGGCTCATGTGATCAACTCTTGCGATCTTGTGACAAGCAAAGGGCAGGTTCACTTAACAACTGCGTTACTAACTTAACAGCCTTGGTGATTCACTTAATCACTGTGGCAAGAAAGGTCGTAAAATGGAGCAAAATTCACTTAACAAATGGTTCGCCTAGCAACACACATTTGGGGCTCAGTTGTGATCGTAAGTCAAGCACTACCTGTATTCAAGTCTCTTGATGAAATCTGCTTGCAGAGTAACCAAACTCACTGGTCTACAGCCATGGTGAAAATGTCTCCCTCCACTTTGTTTATTTTTCTCAGGAACACAGTGAAAAACTTCAAACTCAGGCACAAGATTCTCTCTTCAATTTGGTTTGCAGCTTGTATAAGGCAAGTATCGCTTTCTTCCGAGAACGGTTCCTGGTTTGTTTCCCCACTCATCTTGAATGGATACAAAGAGGTTGGGGAAACATTTTATCTATGAGTTATTCTGGTTTTGCTCTTATTGCACCAAGTTACTCATAGCATACTATTATTTATTAAATTTTAAAAATGAATGTATTTACATGTGCCTGCTGTTTGCATAAATGGAGCTATGTGTGCTCACATGCTCACCCACCACTTCCATGGCCCGGTTCCAAATTGATAGTAGGCCTTGGCCTGGGGGTTGGCGATGCCTAGACTAGATGACCTCCAAGATCCCTTCCAACTCTGTTATTCTATTCTGAAATAATCTAGTGGAAAGCAAAACAACAACCAAACAAAACAGGGGCCATTGAACAAATGCTAAATGTATGAAACCTGTTTTCTTCTTTTGTCTATTTCTTCTTTACCAGAAGAAGAAATGTCATAATTCCAAATGATAAAGACTCGGTCCAACCCTTGATATATTTTAAGTGATATGGCCAAAAGTCACTCTTCTCCTGGGTGATATAGAAATCTAAAGATATACTAGATCTAAACCCAGAATGTATTTGTCTATTTATTTAATACAAGTATTAAACAGACAAATTCATTCGGAGTTTAGATCTAACACTGTCTTTTAACTTGGGAGATGTGATTTTTTTAATCTGCTAAAATAAAATTCTAAGAAGTATTCCAACATGTAGAGTTTTGTCCCTTGCTTCTGTTTACTCTGTTATTCAGTCCTTCGGAGGAAAAAAAAATCAATACAGCATACAGTGAGAAGAAAATGGGAGATCCTCAATCTCATAGGCTAGATTTGCGAAGCACATTAAATTAGGTTAAAATGAAGTTGGGCAGCTAGTGGTTAAGCTTGTTGTGAAACTTAAACAGGTTTCTGAACATGCTACGTAAAAACCGTGCTTTGAGTTAGGAGCTCACGGATCTAAAATAAGCCTTTTATAATGGAAAATGGGGTAGCCAATGGAGCAGTGGGAAATATTTTTTTAAAAAAACTTGTTGCTGCTCTTTGAAGTCCTTCATGATCTGCTGAGATCCTGAGCTGAAGTGCTGCAACCTTTTTGTGATAGATCCCTCTTGTGACATCAAACTTATTTGGGCTTTCTGAAGTTACATTACAACAGAAATTAGTCCAGAGTTGTAAATCAGGTGACATAAAAATCTTAGTTAAAAGAAAAAGAATAGGCACACATTACACAGAGCCAATAACTAAGAGCTGTGATAACTAAGAGTCGATACTATTGCGTTGAGATGATCCTTCTGATTTTTGCCTACTTTGATGTTTGCAGGGAGATTTGCCAGCTGCCTGCAAAAGGCCAAATGAGCTTCCTTTTCCTCCAATTCACACTTTCTTGAGGAAGTCCGCGCCCAACTTGTTGGAGTTTCCGGAGGGAGAGGAGACAGTTTATCAGTCTGCCCAAGGAAAAGCAAAGGAAACCTTTTAGGATTTTAATCCTACATGTCATTATTGGTTGAATTTTCCTGCTACAAGATGGAGTTTGGATCTGGAATGCAGTGAAGTCAAGGAACTCTTTCAAGGAGGCAGAAGAAGAAAAATCGGGCAGGTGTTTTGGGAAGAAGTCTTGATTTTCTTGGTGCTATAAGAATAAACCTTTGGAAAGGTAGCTTCTGTCATTCTTTAGCAGGAATTACACATTTTAACCTCATAAAAGTTGCTTATTTTACCTTCGTTCCTACTTCCTTTGACTGCACCCCCAAAATGGAAATGTTGTCTTTAGGAGGAAAAAAAAATCATGTCTTCAGAAAGACAAAGTTGGTCTCTTCTTGCCAGCATCCAATCCTGTTGGTGATCTGAGATACGGGAAGCTGCATCATCACCTGGGGAGTGGGAGCAACATCTTCCTTAGGACCAACCTTGGCATCAGCTCTGTTAATAGTCCCAAAGAGCCTGTTTGCTGAATAAAGGTGCATCAAGACCAGTGGTGGTATGAACTGGTAGTAAAAAAAAAGCCAATCGGCTGAGAGGAGGGGTGAAAAAATCCTCCAACAATCAGCTGAGAGGGGAAAAAAAAGAGAAAATTCTCCCATCTGCCCCTGCGCTTTTCTTTATCCTCTCAGCTGGTTGGTGTGGCAGGTCTCAGCTGGTGCGGGGAAAGCTGTTAGGCAAAGCAAGACCACCAAGCCATGGTCACCGAAGTGGTGGTAAAACGATTTGAATCCCACCACTGATCAAGACAGCCAATGTAAGAGGGTTTTCCTTCCCCATGGGAGCACAACAACATAATTTGTTAGCTGGTCTCTATTCCTGTCTTTGCAATGTGGCTTACGGCAGAGCAAGAGATCTCCTGCTTGTGGGAAAAACATCCTTCAGGTGCTGTTCCTGAAGCAGGCTAGGGATGGGGGAGAAGGTGAGTTTCAACAAGAGGCTGGAATGAAAGGTTTGTCCATCTGTTGAAACCGAATATGCAAAGAGGGTGAAAAGTTTCCTGCTTTGTTCAAGACTTCCCATTCCTTTTGTGGATCCAAACTTCAGATGATTGCTCGTGTGTGGGGTCTCTTATTCCATTGCTGTCCTCTGCTTGCCTTTTCTAATGGTCGTCACCTTCTTTCTTGCTTGGATGCACGCCATTGCGATGCACGGGCTGTATTCTATTTAATATGGCATTGCAGATAATCCTAAAACTTACGACAACAATTAAGCCCAACATTGATGCGAGACATTTGTTAAGGGAGTTTTGCCCCGTTTTGCAACCTTTCTTACCACCGTTGTTAAGTGAATCACTGCAGTTGTTAAGTTAGTAACATGGTTGTTAAGGGAATCTGGAATCAGTGGCCGCCTCATTGACTTTGCTTGTCAGAAGGTCGCAAAAGCTGATCACATGATCTCGGGACACTGCAAGCATCATAAATAGGAACCAATGGCCAAGCATCCAAATTTTGATCATGTGACCATGGGGAATGCTGCAACGGTCATAAATGTGAAAATGGTCATAAGTCACTTTTTTCAGTGCCATTATAACTTTGGATGGTCCCTAAAGGAACTGTTGTAGGACAAGGACCACCTGTACAGTATTAATTGTTAAAAGCAATTCCACACTGAATCTTCCAGTCAGACAGGCAGCCTTGTTTTATCTCTATATAATGAATGCTGTATTGGTCTCTCACATTCCCCTGCCTTACTCTCACACTAATATGCATGCTTGGACTCAGTGGTCCTTTTCGCTTCATTGTCTTTCACCCTTGTCAGCCATGCACATTCACCCATCTGCCTCTTATTCTTTCTCTCTCGTTCACTCACTTTCACTCATTTTGCCCAAAAACCACTGATGGAAGGCAGGTGACAGATTGAGATGGGAAAATAGTATTCATGATCTACTTTATGAGACATCAATCTAATGTTTTGCATGAAATCCCTAGGCTCATATCAATAGAACGGGTACATATGTTTTGCTGCACACTCAAATTCCTGGTGCCTAATCAAGCTTACTGCCCAGATCAGAATGTTAATGGAAGGAAATCAAGACCAAACAGAATAGAATTAGAATAGAATAGAATTCTTTATTGGTCAAGTGTGATTGGACACACAAGGAATTTGTCTTGGTGCAAATGCTCTCAGTGTACATAAAAGATACATTTGTCAAGAGTCAACAATCATCAGGTACAACACTTAATGATAGTCATAGGGTACTATAAGCAATCAAATCATACTAGGAAACAGTCAATATGAATCGTAAGGATATAAGTGACAGTTACAGTCATACAGTCACAAGTGGGAGGGGATGGGTGATAAGGAGTGATGAGAAGATTAATACTAATACAGAGTTTGTAAATAGTTGGACAGTGTTGAGGGAATTATTTAGCAGAGTGATGGCTTTCAGGAAAAAACTGTCCTTGTGTCTAGTTGTTCTGGTGTGCAGTGCTCTATAGCGTCGTTTTGAGGGAAGGAGTTGAAACAGTTTATGTCCGGGATGTGAGGGGTCTGTAAATATTTTCACAGCCCTCTTTTTGACTCGTGAAGTATACAGGTCCTCGATGGAAGGCAGGTTGGTAGTAATTGTTTTTCCTGCAATCCTAATTATCCTCTGAAGTCTGTGTCTGTCCTGTTGGGTTGCAGAACCAAACCAGACAGTTATAGAGGTGCAGAAGAAAGACTCAATAATTCCTCTGTAGAACTGGATCAGCAGCTCCTTGGGCAGTTTGAGCTTTCTGAGTTGGCGCAAAAAGAACATTCTTTGGAATGTTTGTATTGCACCTTCACCTTCTATTATAGACTTATATGCTGCTTCCCGGTGCTTTATAGCTCTCTTTAAGCAGTTTACAGTTGGCATCTTGCCCCCAACAATCTGGCTCCTCTTAAACCGACCTTGGAAGGATGGAAGGCTGAACCAACCATGAGCCTGGTGAGAATCAAACTGCCGGAAGCCGACAGTCAGGAAAATTAGCCTGCAGTACTGCATCCTAACTGCGTCGTCATGACTCAGTACATCGATAGGGGATAGGGAATCAATTTTCCCCCCCACAAATCTCACCCCTTTTAGTTTTGCACTTTCCCATTGCACATGCATCCTGAAGGGGCAGGTCCTGCAGGCAATGCTACAACGCTGCTTTTGTTATGTTGCATCTACATCCTGCAGATGCCCCTGTGCGCCTGAGATATGCGTGGTGATTCATTCATTCCCTAAGCACATGGGTGAGTCAGGCTTACACATTAAGTCATAATGTTTACTTGTATGTAATTCTATGCCGTCACCTCCTATGATTTCAGTCGGCTCGTTGTAAAACTGGAAACAGACAGCATCACATATTAAAACATTGCAACACATACAATAAATTAAAAAAGACTACGTAGGCTCACAAAGTAAATAAAATAATGTTTCCTGGCATAAGTGGCTTGTATAATACTCCCCCTCCTCCATGCCACAGATCTGCTGGAAAACATGCTGTTGACTGTTTTCTGAAAAGATAAAAAGAGGGGAAGAGCCATATGTTTAGGGGAACCAGTCATTTCCAGAGTAAAGATAATTCCTTTATGATCCATAAAATAATGCAGAGATAGTTGGTGTTTGGGTAACAAAGCTGTGATTGACATTTGGAGGGGGAGGGATATGGGCTACCAGGGGGTGTGCCAATCAGTTCAAGAAGGCGGGATATGTCATGCATGGAGGTGGGGCTGGGAACATCACTCCCTTCCCTTCCTTCCTTTCCTTCCTTCCTTCCTCTCTCTCTCTCTCTCTCTCTCTCTCTCTCTCTCTCTCTCTTTATTGAGTCTGAATAAAGGCTTTGAAACTGCTAAACCTAAAGCATTTCCTGGTGGCTTCCACAATTTTTTTTCAGGGAGAAGTGCTATATAGGGATTCCTGGACACCAATAAGAGAGACAGGGTTTGAAAAAAAGGAAAACATGAGAATTAAAAAAGGGGGGGGGAGGCAATGGGTGCCTCATTCCAGCATTTTTACTTGCATTGCACTTAAGCGAACCACAGAGCTTTGATTGTTGAATTGTGACTTCTGTCTTGACCCACACAAAGATGCCCCTGCTGTCTTCACTGTAAAACCTTGTGGGAGGAGATGGAATGTATGACAAGCCTTCTGTTAGCTCTTTAGCTGGATGAATAAAGCATATTTCTGGCCTGGTTGATGAGGAGACTTGAAGGGTACGCATTGCGCAGAGATGTTCTATTTACAATGAACCTGCCAGGAAAAAGGACCAGGACCAGAGGTGGTATTCAGCAGGTTCTGACCAGTTCTGGAGAACCGATAGCAGAAATTTTAAGTAGTTCAGAGAACCAGCAAATGCCACCTCTGACTGGAGATTTTACAGGATCCTTCCTCTGCCAAGCCCACCAAGCCACGCCCACAGCACAGGTAGTAAAAAAAATTGAATCCCATCACTGGTCCAGAGGCCTCCCCTGGGCCTCTGGGAGGGTGAAAACAGTCTCCCTTGGCCTCTGGAGGCCCTCCAGAAGCTGGAAACAGGCCCATTTCCAGACTTCCAGAATGCCCGTTTTCCCCCCTTCCAGAACTTCCACGTGGACCCTGCACTTACCTCCATCAAAAATGGGTTGTGTGAAGACTCCTGGGAGGGGAGAGTGGGGAGGGGCAGGGCCGGTCATTTGAAATACCGGTTCAGTGAACCGGCTGTAATTTTAACATCCAGTTTGCCAGAACCAGTCCAAACCAGTAGAATCCCACCCCTGGCTAAGCGTTGAAAAGAGATTGAATAAGCCAGTTTCATTTTCAGCAGTTTATTGAAGGGAAACAAGCAATTTAAGACTGCAGTGCCTCTGCTTCTAGATTTTGTGCTTGAGAGAGAGAGAAAAAAAATGATTTTGGAATTTTCTGATTGCGTTCGTTTATTGTTATAGAAATGTCTCTATACTAGGAATGCAAAGATGAAAAGTTGAGGCTGCAATGTTATTAATCTTTATTCAACTGCACTGAAAAGACTTGGAATAGAGTTTTTTCTGCTTTTCCCTTTACCCTGCCCAATTCTCTTCCCCTTTCCTCCCTTCCCCCCACTTATTTGCACTTGTATTTTACATTTTGATAAATTTCACAAAAATTACATATATATAAATAAAACGACTGCGGTGCAGAAAAACCTTCCTTTCGATTTTTGCCTTATGCAATTCCTTTTGCTACCAGAAAGGGGCAGTCATGGAACA